GAGGGAAGACCGGCAAGGATAACATTATGGCAGGTACTGCTGGTATGGCAGTACATATGGGAGATAACATTATGACAGGTAGGCTGCCATTTTCAGTAGACGAAGAACTTACTTAGCCAACTGGAATAAGCCCCCTGATCCTAGCCCTGGTTCTCATGGGAGGCTTTTAACCACCTTAGTATCTGCTGTGGTGGGGTGCAGTCAGGAGGTTTCTAGAGGGTATTGAGGACAGTTTCCTGGTGAGCCAGCATGGTGAGCCATTTGTTAGCAGTGAGCCAACCAAGGGTGTGCTTTGCCAAGGAGGAGATGGTGGAAAATGTGAAGGCTGATGGCAGCATCAGCGTGGGGGTGTCTGGGCAGACAAGCTGAACAGGAATCAGTGGTGGGCCCCTGTAGTGATACAGGCTAACCTCATACTGGACCACACTGAAAAAAGAGGAAGCAGGTGAAGGTTAGTTTTGGCACTTCTGAAATTGTATTTGGAATGCCAGACTCTATGGTACAAGACATTGATGTGCTCAAGTGAGTCCAGTGGAGGACCACCAAGATGATGTATGAGGAGTTGGGAGAGTTATTTTTGTTCAGTTTTAGGAAGAGATTGGAAGCTAGATGCTGTTTCCAACTGTGTAATGAGTGGTTATAGAGAAGATGGAGCAAAACTGCTCTTGGAGATGACCAGAGGTGGGACAAGAGGCAATGCATGCAAGTTTCAAATAAAAAAGGACATTCTTATTACATATTAGGAAGACTATTCTTTACAGCAAGGGTAGTCAGACACTGGAACATGGTGCCTACAATATTATGCAATCTTCATCATTGGAGATGCTCAGAAGTGAATGGCAAAATGCTTTCGAGCAAGCTGACCTCATTTTGAGGTTAGATCCAACTTCAAAATCGGTTTGACTTTGACTAGGGAGGAAAGGAGGGTTGAATCGCATCATCTCCAGAGGTCCCTTCCAACCTAGATTTATCTGTGATTTTAAGTGAAAACCCGAAGTGGTTCAGACAGTTCACAGGAGAACCTGCTTAGTCTTGGAAGAGGAAGATTTACATTTTGTGAGGTTGGAATGAACTGTATGAACTAATTTCCTTGGCACTGTGAGTACTGGTAAACCCTCCAGATTCTGCATGTCATTAAAAACGCACAAATCTGTGGCCTTCAGATTAAGACAAAAGACTCAGACATAACCCACACACAGATGCACTGGTGTTACTGTGCAGCGCTATGCTGGAAGAACTCCCGGATGCTACAATTTGGAAAATACCTTTTAAAAAAAAGAAAAAAAAAATGGACTGCATTTCTAGCACTGGGACTTTTTTTTAATGCAACTGAGAGTTGAATTTCTTAATAAGAAATTTCATTTCAGTTTCAAGCAGTATTTTTCCCTGGGGAAGAGTTATATGAACTGTCACATAAGAGATGACCCTGCAGCATAGAAAAGTGGCTGGTTGTCACAATCCCGTTTGTTTGTGATGGGCATGATTGGAAGTGTCAATTTAATTCTAATTCCTTGCAGTGGATAGTAAAATGGAGCATTAGTAAAATATAGAGTATTAGTTTGTTTTAGAAGGAGCTCATTTCAAAACAAATGTTACAGAAATCAGCATCACATATCAATGTGGTGCTGGTGTACAACATAGTTAATAATCTTTATGTTTATGTTTAATGTTTAATGGGTCAATATGATGTGGCTTCTTGAAAGGAAAAAAAAAGAATTTAGATATTACTTAGAAACTGTAAATTATGGCAAAAAGTTTCTTGATGTGAGGGTAATCATTTGACCTTTACAAGGGAAGAAATAAAATCTCGTAAGTTACTTTAGTAAATATGTTGGATTTAATGATTGCCTCATGGACCCTTGTGAGAGTGCAGTGTCTGTTTTCTGTGGAATAACCAATGCTATTAATTCTTTTGAATGTGCATTGTAGTCATTTTCCTGAAATAACTTGCACATTTTCTGTCAGTAGAATTGACTTAAGTGCAAATGTGTAATGGGACATTCTTTTCTCTTTAGATACGAGATCTGTTTTTTGAAAAATACAATGTGTTTAAAAAAAAAAAGAATCTTCAGTCAAAAAGAAAGACAAAACTGAAATCTTAAGACTTTTATTTAAGAATGGAAAATGGTATCTTTTGGGAAATAGCAATTCTAGCGTTCATATTAATACGATTTCTACTTAGCACAGTGGAACAGATTTCATTTTTCTCTGAAAGGTTGTGGCTTCTGTGTACTTCAAAATTTTTCTTTTAGTTTCAGAATTGTAGGCGTTATATAGTAGCTTGGGAGATGCTATGCAGCCCCTGAATGAAGGAAACCGGCATAATGAGTCTTTATGTATTGCTGGTAATGCCTCTTTCCTAGAATTTGTAAACACTTACTATTAACTGTGTTCCTAGTAGGAACCAATCTTTCTTTAGTATTTCTTACTTTGAGACATATTTCATGTTCTTTCCATTGTTTTGGCAAACACTCGGGCATATTTTGGATTTACAGGGAAAACAAATCAGGTTGTTACAAAGGGAACAGCTGTAGGTGTATGAGGGGCACTGACACGGGGATGTGCTCTGGACGGAAGGTTTGCGGGGAGGCTGCCCACCAGACTGGCTACAAAACTGGTGAGAGCAAAGCCATGTGCTGGAGCGGTCTGAGGTACATTAGCCTGAATATAAGCACTGTTTACATGCTACTGCTGCTCTGCTCTTACCTGAGCTGCCTGGTGAGCTCTAAGGATGTAGCAGTTCTGGTCGGGTGGCAGACAAATTTCCCTGCATTCTGCTAGGGCTGTTCTGGACCCGTGCATTTTGTGTCTAGCTTTCACTCTACCTATGTCTGAGAGCAAGTAGGGAGGGCATGTGCCAATTTATTTATAAAATGCCTAGGATGGAAGGATGCCCTTCTGGGGGAAGCTCAGGAATAAGTGATTTAAGATTTTCCTATAGATCGTTCTTTAAAAACAAAAATCTTGTATGCGGTGTTAGCTACTTGTGTTTTTCTTCTTTACTGACAATATAATCCACAATATTTTATGCAGGTTATCATAACAGTAACTTTGTTTATCCTCTTACATTATTCTGTTAAAAAAACATGGCATTTTTCTAGTCCCAGAAGACATTTAAGGCTTTGGATATTCAGTTTTAATATATGCTGGAAGAATTTAACCTGAAAGACTAGTGGAAACTTTCACGTAACAAGAACAGGTAGACAAATTCTTATCTGTCATCTTGGTCACATTTAAAGCTGACTTACTACTGCAGGTCTATGGAAAACTATAGTTAACATTTCAGGCAAACAACATGTTTGCCTTTATTTTTTATTTTTTAGAATAATTAAGTGGAAGGTGGTTATTTGCAAACCAGACTTCAGTTATAGCATCTAGTATTTACAACAATTTGGAATAACGATTTTTCAAGCAGTGAATCAGTGATGCTCATGTTGTCCAACTGAGAAGTCAAATAGGAGTTTGCAGACGAAGAAAGATTGAGGTTTTCATGTTTGTGCAGATCAACTAAAGAGCATTTGGGAAATGGAAGGTCTGAAAGCGGGTTACTGTCATCAAGACAATTCAGCCAGTCAGCAACTTATTTATCAAAGTTTCTAAAACTGGATTTGTGAGCTAAGTAAATTTTTCTGGCAGGCCACATATGGACAACTGGCAATAAATGAACATCTTTGTACTAACGAGACATACATTTAGCTTGGCCTGCCTCATTAAATTAAATTTCAAATCCTTCTGCAATTAGGTACTTCAAGGTCTAGATTATCTACACAGCAAGTGCAAGATAATTCATACAGACATAAAGCCAGAGAACATTTTGATGTGTGTGGATGATGCCTATGTTCGTAGAATGGCTGCTGAAGCTACCGAGTGGCAGAAAGCTGGTGCTCCTCCTCCTTCCGGCTCCGCAGGTAGGGACACTGTGTCCAAATATGTTCTAGTTAAGCTGCATCTGTGTGTTAATGCTAACAGTACTTTACTTTATGTGAAATGTGAAAATTAACATATTTGAAATAATTGCTTGGGAATATTAAGTGATCTTAATGTATGCCTGCTTAACTTTTACTTATGCTCTGGAACTATGAGAGGAATGCTTTGATTTTCTCAGTTTTGCATGCTCAAGTTTTTGGAGTCCCCTGATACATGAAAAGAATAACCCTCCCACACTCACCCCTCTTTTGTGGCTGGCTATTGCAGCACTGGAGCCTTGCCTGTCTAGTGTTGGCATATAATAATAATCTTTTAAAAATTATATGCCTGTCAGCATACATGTGAAATCATATAGTCGATTGGAACTTACTCTCGCAAGTCAGCAGAAAGTGTTAGATTATGTAGACTTTCCCACTTGTAATGGGAATTTATTGTACTTGAATTTATGATAAGCTCTTCTCCCCAGCACTGCATGTGAGATGTATTAAGTTAAACTTACCAAGAGTTTAGACAGGACCTGTAATTTTTCCATGTGTAAGTGAGACAGTGTGCTTAGCTAGGAGAGACTGAGGTGAAGGAATTTTGAGCAATCAGTAAAGACAAAGAAGGAAAAAAAGGGCCTTTTTACTGATCTTTAGTACTGTGGCTGCTGTTTAATTTTCAATCTAGCACTTCAGGTACAAGTAGTAGAGAAATAATAACATTTAAATGCCTTTGTAATTTTGTCAGAAAATATATTGCAGAGCAAAATAGCTGAGTTGTAATAAAAACATCTGTTATATCATGAACAATCACTGTGATCAAAATCCATAAATATTTCTACAAAGCATGTTATTTTCAGACTCTTAAAATTTCCCTAAAACATTTTCTTTTCAACATAATTTTAGACCCGGTTGTTGACTGTTGTATCTTTTTGTTCTGCCAAAAATGATTGTGATATTTCACAATATATGTATTAAGATACAAGAGTATATAAATGAGGAATATATTACATTGAATTTAACATGTGTGATCGTGTAGCTAAGAGCTCTGTTATTTGTATGAGAATTACCTTGTTTTCCTTATTCAGCCTTGGTGCTGCTTCTTGACATTAGAATAAACACTGTTTTTGAGACATGGATCAAATCCTTTTTACACTTTATTCATAGCAAATTTTAATTTAAAAATATGACTTTCCAGAGAGGAGCTAAAGATGCTATTTCAGCATTTCGGGAATAGGTTCTGCATAATTTCACTTTTTTGAAAGGAGGTGATACTGAAGTTGAAGAACCTTTTGGAAAACATTTCATGGTCACAGAAGCGGTTTTCTCTAAGTTCAGCAGTGGAAGCTGAACCTATAAAACCACTGTGAGATGTTAGTGGTGCCCATGTTTGATTTTGTGCTTGTGAACAGCTGTGTGCAGATGTGTTCAAAGAACTTCCTTCCGATTCTTCTTCCCCTCTTCCTCTTTGCTCCAGTCTCACGTATCTGGCTATTTTTCTTGTTTTCAGGTATTTGAGGGATTTCTGTGTGGCTCATATTGTTATGTGCTTTTGCAGTTAGCATGGTGATCGTATCAGATGGCAATTATATAATTATTTCTTAGCAATAAATAAGGAATTATTTCCAGTTATTTATTATTCTTTGAACTAAAGAATAATTTAAGGAAGGAGAGGAGCAGTCATAGATAGACTTTTCTTGGCATCCTGTAAGATGGAACAAAATTGATCGTGGTAGAGAGCCTGACAGAGACATGAAATGGCTTCAGGCAGCAGGCAGTTGTAAAGAGTCAAACAACTACTAATCAATACAAAAAAATCTCTGCTTTGGGATTTAGTTCAGAATATATTTATATCATTTCTACTACTTCTGCTATTAAAGAGTTGTTTTTGTAAAACTGTGTATTTAAAACTTTTTTTTTCTTTCTAGTGAGCACAGCTCCACAACAAAAGCCTGTAAGTATTGTTATATTACTCAGATTAACTATTTTGTTTTCTGTATTTTTATAGGTACTAATTACACTGTTGATAGTCTGTACCCCTTTTAAAAGGGACTATATTCCTTTGAATATAGCTTTTACCTTTCAAAGGATTACTTTCTTTCCAGGTTTTAAACACAATATTTCTCTGATAGAAACTCTAACACACTTTACAATTCTATAGTTATAATAATAACTTCATGTCAAAAAAAAAAAAGGGATTTCAGTTTCCATATCTTGTAGACATTAGGTCTAAATCCTAACAGAAATGTGCACACACACAGAGTGTCATGCATTGTGGACAGCGTAAGGTCTTCAAGGCCTTAAGAGAGCGGATTTTGCATGAGGCTTGAAAAATGTTTTTGACATGTGCATATACCAAATAAAGTGAAACACAGCAGTCAGTAACATCCAAGCTCAAACCTGCTTTCTGTATCTGTGTATGTAACATATTATTTAACTGTGTATACAATATGCAGGTAGTAGGACTATCAGATTACTGTTTTTGACTTGTTTGAGCTTATTTTGAAGATGATTGATAGGATTTATAGATAAAACTCTGAGTCCAGAATATTTATCTTTGTTTCCTGTGCTTCATTTTTGGACGACACAAAGATTTCTTGTTGTGGTAGAACTAATTTATCCAAAAATTGAGTAGAACTAATTTATCCAATAATGAAATTAGAAATCAAATTGCAAGCAAAATTTAATCAACTGTTTCAATGTTAGCTCAGATATCTTAGTTTATCTTTTCCTTGTTACTGTGCCTAATCTTTTCAATCCTTATGTTATATATAAAATGTTAAACTTTTTATAATGGCCATCTGTTGTTTGTGATTCATATGTTTTGGACCAGAAATGAATAATAAAAGTACTTTTTCTTTCACAGGAAATAGCTAAATAACACAGGATTCATTCAAAATTCTTTACCATTTTTGGACTCTTCGGTTTTCTCCTATTTTTCTTAGCCTACTTTGGCTTGCCATGAGCTGCAATGTATAGGAAAAAAAATCATGGCTATAATTTATATGTAGATTAATAAAAATGATAGCAGAATATCTTCCACATACAGCAACGTGATCTTTGATATAGGGAATATCTTAAAATTATTCTACTAGTCAAGATTGTGCAATTGTAGAAATTTTACTATGGTATACCAGTTGTATTTTGCTTTTGTATCTAATAAACTACCATATAACAACATGTATACCAATGTAAGATTTTGTTAGCTTTTTTGCTCCTTGTAACGCTAAGTTTTTCTTAATTTGAAATAAAATGAAAAAAACCCAAATTATTTACTATATTGATTGCCATTTTCAAAAAAGAAGTAATCACACTGCAAGTGAACTTTTGGTATGAGATGCCTTGGGGAGAAATGTTTAGTGCTTTTTGTTTTCTCTTGTTTTTTAATACTTTAGATCGGGAAAATATCCAAAAACAAAAAGAAAAAACTGAAGAAAAAACAGAAGAGGCAAGCTGAGCTATTAGAAAAACGCCTGCAGGAAATAGAAGAACTAGAGCGAGAAGCTGAAAGGAAAAAAATAGAGGAAAATGTAACCCCAGCTGTGCCATCAAATGAGCAAGAAGATGAGTACCACCCAGAGGTGAAACTAAAAACAGCCGATCTAGAAGAGGTAGTAGATGAAGAACCTGGCAATGAGGATGGTTCGTATTAGCTGCTTCTGTTGAATCTGAAACCAAGTTACTGTGTGAGAGGGGAGTGTAATTGAAGCATTTCATCTATTGTAATGAATGAAATCACTTAACTTTCCTGGATCCTTGTTCCATTTTTTTCTGTAGATAAAGTCATAACTAAAAGTCTAAAATGAGAAAAGAAAGGCAAACCATATTGTAGAAGTGAAGAAAAAGCATAAATTGCCATCTAGGTATCAAATCTCACAAAACAACACCTGGAGAACTCAACAGAACAGGCAGTTAGCATACCATGTTAAGTGGCATGACCAAGTATCTTGGTGAGCTAGGAGAAAAATAAGCTGAAGTTTTATTCTATAGCATTAACGTGGTTAGAAACATTCTTGCTTTCCCTTTTTTTTGGTCCAATTTTTCTTGGTAATAGACATCAGGTAATGATAATTACAGCTGCTTGGCTTTTAAGATGACTTGTTACAATTCTTTACTTCTGGAGGCTTGAAACATGATTGTTACAGTCCTGAACTTTCATAGCTTCCCTTTTTTTTTGTTGATTTTCTCCAATTCTTAAAAAAATACAACTGCAGAATCCATCTTTTTTTTGTTTTCTTTTTTTATGGTCATACTATGGTTTTTCCTACCTCTGCGATTTCCCAATTGACAGTGATTGATTGAGTAACAGACTTTTACTTAGTGCTTATTTTCAAGACTTTCTGTATCCCCCTTTCATGCCATTCTTCTCTGAATTTGTCCCTTGGTTATAATATCTTGATGCACTTCTGTTGGTTCTCCAACAGCCTTATTAGTTTGTTATCTCACCTTTGATTTTGCTTTAAGGTGTTTGTGTATTTCAGTGATATTCAGTGTTTCTTTTTGTGCTATTTCGGAAAACACAGACTTCTGAAGAGTAAAAAATTCCAGATGTGTAATTTTGAACTAGGTATGACCTAATGTGTTGCCCATTAATTTTTTTCAGGTGAAGCAGAAGATCAGGATGAAAAAGAAGACACAGAGAAAGAAAACACTGAAAAAGATGACGATGTTGAACAGGAACTTGTCAACCCTGATCCTACAGACCCTAAGTGGATAGAATCCCCTAAAACAAATGGCCATATTGTGAATGGCCCCTTCCTATTGGAACAGCAGATTGAAGATGAAGATGAGGAAGAGGAAGAGTGTCCAAATCCAGAGGAGTATAATCTTGATGAGCCAAATACAAAAAGTGATTACTCTTATAGCAGCTCCTATGAACAATTTAATGGTGAATTGCCAAATGGACGTCATAAAATTCCTGAGTCACAGTTCTCTGAATTTTCAGCCTCAGTGTTTTCTGGGGCTCTGGAGTCTGTAGCTTGTGGTTCTGCTGTTTCTGAAGGATCAACTGTAACTGAAAGAGAGGAGAGCAGCCCATCTCATGACAGGAGCAGAACGGTTTCAGCTTCAAGCACTGGGGATTTGCCTAAAAGTGAGTTTTGCCCTTGGTGTCATATACTGTCTTTGGGGTCTCATGGAGCTGCAGGTGATGTCCTATGCAGAATGAGTAATGGGTTCAAACCTTATAGATGTGTGGCTTTTTTTTTTTCCTCTGTTCAGTGACACATGTATGCAGATTTTACTTTTGTTTGCTTTTGGTGAAAAAATATTTGCTTTGGTGAGAACAACAAATTTTTGTGTGAATCAGTAGTACCAAGCCGTAGGTGGTAGGCCATCGTGTGCTTCTTTCAGTAGCAGAAAATGATTCTGTCACAACCATTTCCTTGACCTTGGCTTGTGCAGTAAGGCTAGCACGTCTCAGCGAGGTTGGCCTTTCCTTGCCTGCAGTCTTTTAAACCTTTTTTTCTGGGTCAGTGCCAAACATACGTCCTGCTCTGCTTCCTGCCAGAGTCTGAGGAGTGTCCACTGAAAAGATGGTGTCTGTGTGCCAGCCTCCACAGTTGGAGAAATCTGTGCAGTCTTCTCCCAAATACTGTCTCCTAGGCACTTCCCAGACTTGAGCAGAAAGGGGGATATGGAGTCAGATATTCCGGGATGGGGAAACAGCTGCAACCCTCTACTGGGAACCCCTTTCTCCATGCAGGTTGACATAACCTTCCTGGCTGCATCTACCCTGAATATTTTACTCATTGAATTTTATATTGTGTGAATGCAAAAACTCAATTACGATTATTTTAAATTTCATATTTCATCCTAGGAAGCCCTTGGCAGAAAGGTAGGTCAGATATCTAAAAAATGAGGAGGAGAATTTTGCTGACTGTGGTCCAAAAGCATTCTGGTGAATTTCCACCTCACAGGACCAAAATTCAAGAAAAAAAACCCCAAGGCAGTCAGTTTTGAATGACTTTATGAAATAGAAAGAAAAAAAAAATGTTCCGATTTGAATTAATAAAAATCTCTTGGCTGGTACTACAGATTTAGATTACATTTAAAATGAAAGAGTGAATTGATTGGAATAGAAAGACAGCAATTCAGTTAAGGAAAATGTTTTTTAAAGTATTAGGTAAATTTACTTGATAAGATATTGTAGACAATGTATTTGTATTGACAGAACAGTCTACACAGGAAAGAGAAGAGGAAGAAATAGTTGCAAGTAAGCAAAGTTTAAGGCAGAAGGCGATCATGAAATCACCTAACCTGATTTTGTGTTTATAACAAGTCAGTAACTCACCCTTCTATTGAGTTTAGTACCTGTGTTTGGCTTAAAATGTGTTTTCCAGAAAGATACCTGCTCTTGATTTTGACAAATGGACTGAGAAAAAAACAAAACAAAAACAAAACAAAACAAAAACCCCAAAACAGTATGTTTGTAGTTTATTCCACTGGTCAGTCCTTTTGAATTGTTTTAAGGGATTTGTGGCTAACTGGATTTGTCTAGCCCAAGCTTCTAGCTATTGCTTCTTGTGATGTCTTCAATGTCTTTTGTCTGTCATAGTCTAGCTTATGCGAGAAACCTACTTGGTTTGTCCTTGATGGTGTCGTGTTGGGAGCAGTTTGGAAGCCCTGTGTGCCAGGAAAGCAGAAAGGGAGGGAATTCAGCTGCAGCTCACATCTTCCTCAGAAAGAGGAAGAGCTAAATGTGACCTATATTAATGGAATCAATAATAATGTTGAGCTAAATGGGAATAAAACAGTATGTCAGAAAGAAAAAGGCTGTGAGTGTTGTAGGCTGTTCAGAATTTTTAAGTGATGCTACTTTTTTTGTAACTTTGGTCCTTTTTTTCTTGTTGTGATGTCTTCCTTTGCTCCTCCCTGTGCAGTCAGTGCTGCCCATGTGCAAGGACAAAGTTTCATTTTTCCAAGACACTTTCCTTGGTCCCTGCCTTGGTGCTCTGTGGTTGAGCAGCTGTTTGCTTTTTTTTTTTTTTTTTAATTTTCACCATGTGATCAAATGCTCTTAAGATAGAATTATTTATTTCCTCATGACTCTCCTCCTCATCCCCACGTTTGAGTGTTTACTAAGTACATGATCATGATGTGACTGTGAGAAGAGGAGGTGATAGTTCTCAGTTCTACAGAACTAGGGCGCACAAAAGAAAAAATCAGGAATACTCATTAAAGTTGCGCTCAGGTTGAGCTCCTTAGGATACTTTTTTTTTGAGAGAGAGAGAGTGTACTTGCTAAAAAACACACTTTTCCTGACCTCACTTGCAGTTGTGAATCATCAGCATTTGCAAAACCAGAATCCAAGGCCTCATGCTCGTCTTGGAAAATATGGGACACAAACTTAGCAAGTTTCTGAGGAAAACACTGCCGTGTAGGCACTTGCCTGGTGTCTCACCATAGATGTCCTACTGTGGAGGTCTTCCCTTTCTTTCTTTTGTGCTCCTGCCTTATTTGCTGCAAACCTTCCACCTTCAGCATGAAGTATGGCAAAGATTTCTTAGGCGATAACTTTTCTTTGGTAGGGCTGCCGATTGAGGAGAAGCAGGTTATTTTTTGAACAGTGCATATGATTGTTGATAAAGACTGTAAAGACAGCATGCACTTAAAGGAAGATCTTACTATTGAATTTAATAATTCCTTTTAAGTGCTAAATATTGCAACCCTGATGTATTTTCTTAGTGTATTTTATTTTTGTGCCATCTTTCAGGGCTTTTTCAGAATTGGAGCCGTACGCTCTGTTCCAGCTTTTGTACGGGACTGTTTCCTTGAGGTCACTGCCTGTTCCACCTTCCTCCTTCTGTTTATTTGCCACTCAGTGCTGTCCTTTCCCTTGGGCCGATCCTCCTTTGGTCTTTCCCAGCTAACTTTGTCTCCCTCCCTTGAGTGATCACTGAAGTTTGCAGTCCAGGCAGCTCTGATCTCAGTCACTCCTACTTAGCAAGTGCTTCTTTCCTCTAGCTGCCCGTTTAAGGCAGTTGCCTCTACAGCTCTTAAACCAGTTTCACTGATGGCTGTTCACTCCTCCTGGAGTCCCAGCTGCCTTCTGATCTAATACTTCCTTCATAGAGCACCATCACTTTCCAATCTTAGTCTTGAACTGGGATTCAACCCTGATTTATTTGTGAAAGGGGTAATGATCCCCAGGTTCTGAAATGTGGCAAATTGTGGTGAGTCTTCTCCCGCATGGGACAGATTAAAAGAGATACAGCCACATTTCATGTACTTTATCCCACAATAGATATGCTGAATTATTTTCTTAACCAAACTGTTCTAAGAATGTATCGTTCATGTGGAATTCTTGGAGCTTGAGATTTAACATTTTCCTTTTGATCTGTTCTTGGAAACATATGCACTGTCTCTGCTTAGTAGCACCTCCAGATATTTTAATAATAGTCATTTGGCATTTCGTTCAAAAATGCAAACCATTTACACTTAAAATGTGTAAAGATGTCTAGAAATCTACATAAGAAATCCTACCTTTGTTGCTTTAATATCTCATAACATTCAGCAACTCATTTTGATACCTGCAAGGTATTCTAAAACCTGACAAGGCAAAACTGCTCACATAGATGAACAATGTGTTCTAAGTACTAACTATTCTGCTTTTTGCTTGTGTTAGCAAAAACTCGTGCTGCTGACTTACTGGTGAATCCTCTGGACCCAAGAAATGCAGATAAAATTAGAGTTAAAATTGCTGACCTGGGGAACGCCTGCTGGGTGGTAAGTACAACTGCATCACTTCAGTTTAGCCTTCAATGTTTAGAACAGGTCATCTTAGTCTTTTTTTTTTTTTCCCCATTAATAATATTATTTCTATTGCAGCATAAACACTTCACAGAAGACATCCAGACAAGACAATATAGATCCATAGAGGTTTTAATAGGAGCAGGTTACAGTACACCTGCTGATATCTGGAGTACAGCGTGTATGGTAAGAGCAATAAAACCTCTATTTTGTAAGAATAAACCTCCAAAGAAACAATTGTATATTTAGTGAAGGAACCTGACTAGGATGGTTCTGACATTTTGATATAAATACATTTTTATAAATGATGTAGTATCAGATTGCTGCTGGGTTTCTTTCTCCCTTTTATTCCACTCTGTTAAGCATCCTCAATCAAAAGGAAGTATATTTGAGGAAGTTTCTAATTTTACTTTGAAGCACTTTAACCTTGCAGTCAAAAAGATGCAAATTTGCAAGGAGTTTTATATATATTATAAATACCAAAACCAAACTGGGATAGTACAATTGCATGGTTTCTTCAAAAATGATTAGATATTAGAATCTGTGCAACTGTTTGCTGTGTTTCCTTGGCCTTTCTTCCATAAAATAATAAAACATTAAATACTTAAAACTCTTGCCACCTTCACTGAAAGCATTCATCAGATTAGGTTTGTAGGTGACAACTTCAGGTTGTAAACTTGAAGGGAAGGAATTTTGTTTATTAGTAAAACATGTGCTTAAAGCTCTGCAGAACTAATTTTAACACACAATTAAACTGAAATGATGCATTTTTAAAAATATTTTAAAATTAGGAAAAAAATCAATCTTGATCATTCAATTCTATTTGAAACATTCTGTAAACAATGTCTCTGAGGACAAATAAGCTGTATGTGCATACTGATTAGAGATAGTTTTGGAAATACATTTAGAAATACTTTATTTTAAAAGTGAAAACACATTCAAATCTTTATATCTTACAAATTCATGTCTGAAAAGAGTGTGTGAGGAGGAGGAGGAGAAGACTCAAATACTAGACACAGTTGCAAGCGTGGGTGATGAGAAGAATTGCAGAACTCAGAGGGAGAGGAGGAGGATTGAAAAGAACATAAAATCCTACAGATATAAGCTCAGCAAGCCGTGTGTTGGAAGTAACCAACTCATAAGCAAAAATGAAAGTGTGTTTTCTCTGAGAGTTTAATACTCGATTTTGCTTTAGTACACATAAAAGATCTGAATTTACTCATCCCTTTTGAGGCAAAACATAAAATGTGGATATTCCACAGCATATTCCACAATTATGGTCCTAGGGCTGAGGTGTTTGTTAGACTCATATTTAATCGTTGGATTTTGCTGCTTTTTATAGCAAAGATAATGCAGAATCATCCATGAATGTTTTTCAGTTCGATCAGCTATTAAAGTTTGGCATCTGGTTTGAAGTTTGAATGTCAATGTAAAGGTTAGATTTTGAGAAATCTAAATTGTGAATTCTTTGAGCTCTCTAATGATTCTTTGGTTAACTAAGTAGAAAATTACTGTAGCAAAATTACTTTTTCATTCCTAATAGTTGATATTTTCTGTCAAGCTCAGTTTATTACCTTTCTTTGGTTTCTGTATTATTCTTCCTTAAGGCTTGCATAGGTGCACTACATCTTGCTAATTTTATAGTCAGCCTTGTAGCTAGAGCCACACAAACCAGGTTAAATTTGCATTTAAGTAAAATGGGATACTTAGTAACAGTTTCATGCTTAGGAAGTTCACTGCTCTTAAAATATTTTGCATGAGTTATAGATGACTTTCTTATTCCTTTAAATAGGAAAGGTATCTTTGGCAGGGCAGTGGTTACTAACAGTGTGTATGAGTTTGAAGCATATATGCTAAAACTGTTTATTTGAATTTAACCATTTATAGTGACTGAATGATTTTTTTAAAATTGTAATGCTGTGAGAGTGGTTGAAGATGCACATGCCAGGAGATACAGGGCTGTTTTATTATCTGAGAGACATCCTAACCCTTATATCTTTGTTCATGTTACATAAACCCTGTTGCTTTCTTTGTGTAAGCCCTTTTTAAACTCAAGAACCCCCCGTCCTGAAAACCTAAAGAATCTTTGCCATTTATTCAGGTTCACAAATATTTATGAAATTGCAATATTTTCATGAAAAAATACACTGCTGATTTTTTTTTCATTATGTAAGTTTTAAGGACAGCAAAGTATTTAAGGCAGAAACATTGGAATTCTGTCTTCTGCCGTACACTTTCTTTTCCTGCCCTTATAACATACTGTAGAAATTTAATAGTTCCGCGTCAGTGACATATGGTCGTTTTATTCAGTTGTCTTCATTGTATAAGTGCAGTCATGGAAAAGGTGAAGATCAGATGTTTGCCCCAGAAATTTACAGTTTGTCATCTGCCTTCATTCCTGTATGTTTGGAAAATGGGTCAGGGCAGTGTTAATCCCAGAATCAGCTGGAATACAGCTCCGCGAGGTGGATATTAACTGAAGGCAATAACAGTTCTGTTCTGCAGAGAATTTTTAATTGAGATTAAGAGGCGAGGGGAATGAATATCTCTGATGTGGAGCTGCACAGACATCAAGAACTCTTTTACCTTGCTCATCTTTGGAAATGATGATCTGATTCTCTCCAGTCTCTGGAGCATCCAAGAACTGTACTGAAGTGTTTTAAAGCCAATGTAGTCCCACTTGCTCTTTCAGGTTTGGTTTCTTGAACCTAGATGTGGTTCCTAAAGTGTCCCTCTAGGTCACATTGTTCTTGTTTCTATATTTAATTCACTTTATTCCATAGTAGTTACTGTTATGTGTGTTTTCAAAGGGTTTGTCTGCAACAGGAGCTGGAGGTCCTGTATATTTTGCTGTGGCTGACTGAAGATATGGCCCAGACAACCTGTTAGCCATGTTGTCCAAAACCTCAAATTCACTGGGGTACCAGGAGATTCTCCACTTCTCTGTCACATTCCTTTACTTGCACAACAGGCCCAATGTTGTTAAGGACATTTTTGGAAGCTGCACATACAAAAGGGGTTGTTCAGCACTATTGTCATTATGTTTTTTCCCCCTAGTTTCTGTTCTTCCAAAACTGGCCTAGTGAGACAGTACCAAGCACGCACGACGTGGTTGTGCTGGCTGACACCTGTGTTTATTTTAGATTGTATTTCTCATACAGTGCTTTAAACAGATCATTAATTAAGGACTATGTGCTAAAATGTGATGGTAAACTTGATGTTGTGTTCAGAGGAGGCATCAAATACTTCCTGTCACTCTACCAGAAACCTTGCAGTTGTGGCCTGTATTGGCCTGCCGGGAAAGGAGGCATTTTGCACTCAATTTGGCTTTGTGCTGGGAACTGTGCAACAAAATTATAGATCCTGTGTCTTATTTTCATGATGATTTTGACTTACTTAAGCTGTCTTGTCCCAGTTTATCTATTGAAAAAGAATGATACTTGGTGTACAGAGTGTGTGCCGGATATGAATGATGTGAATTAATGCAGATTCAAAGAAGAATAAGCTGAGCAAGGATGAGACATGTAAAAGATGGGGAAATAACTCAATGCTAATAACCGTACAGTACTTTTTCTTTTGGCATCGTGTCAGCGAATAACTAGCACTGGAAACCAGCAGCCTGCAAACTGAATCTTCTAATTTTAGATGCTTCATCATGGTCCAGTTTTTCTGCCCAAAACATGGAAAGTTGGTCTTCAAATCAGATTTAAAGGATGAGAGGGGGATTTCCTCAGGGCAGTACCAGTTCAGCTAATGTGAATCTTAAAAAATAAAAATGCAGGGAGAAAGGAGTGTGATGCCCCAGGCCTGAGTGATTGTGGAGATCATTTGCTGGACATTTACGTATTTTGCTAAGAGAATTGCATGGTGCTTTTTTATCTTTTCTTTTTTCTTTATTTTATTTTTTTTAGAACATGGCCTATTTATCTAAATGTGGACTACTCTACTGCTCTCATGCCAGACCTAGGAACACTGGGGAATCTCTCCCCACAGTTACTAAATGTTCTATTCTAGATATGCTGACATGGAGGTGCATCTCTCTTGTTTTTTTTCTGAAAAAAAGGAGCAGATTTGGAGCCAGTGATGCCTTTGACAGGATTGAAACCACCCTTGGTCATGGCTTTTTTTCAGGCTGAATTTCCACCTTTGCAGAAGTAAAAGGGATTGCTTTCTGTGGAGTGTAAGCTAAACGGGCACTGCATGATGTAGCACATTTCCTAAATCCAGAAGTCCATGGAACACAGCACTCCCCTGCTGCTGCCAAGAAATCCTGGCAAAATAAGGCATCCGATACTAGCAGAAAGGGCATCCCTTTGCATTGCTCCTGGAAATGACTGTGGGCAACATGATTCCACTGTTTTTCCAGGCTCTTTGGATTGGAGATGGGAAAAGCACCTGAAACAATGAGTCTCATCATGTAACTTTTGTTGTCCAGGATGTATAATCTTGTGTAAGATGTGGGGAGGACATGAGTAAGTCACAAGTTAGGACATCGACAAGACAGTATTTTTCCAATATCTTTCTGAGGTGGTTATTGTGGAGAGTTGTGATTCCTGAAATACATCCTTTTTATAAAAAGAAACAGCTGTACACCATAGCTATAGTCTGACAACAAGTGTCCTAAGTGTAACTACTCTTTCTGTATTATAAGCAGGAGGAAATAATCATGTCTTCGTAGGTTCATGAGTACCACCATGTCAGTTCATGTGCATGGCACCTATGCAAGGTGTGAGGAGAAGCCTCAGTCTGCCCAGAAAATGGTTTTTGAGGAAAAATGGAAAATCAAAAATCTGCTTGAGAGAAAAGAAGAACTCAAGTCACTATGCACATGTTTTTCAGTGGGCAGATACAGTACAAAATGCTGTTATTAATCACTGTACACCCTTTTGCTTTGAAGGTGGTGGGTGGACAACCTAAAATGTTCAAAAGAAAATGATTTTCTGAATATAGAGTGACTTTCCAGAGCAACCATACGGCATTTGTGTGATTTTTGAGATCAGAGAGTAGAAAACAATAGAAACCTGTTTCCTTTTCAAGCAACCCATGAATGTCTGTGCTCTGTATGCCTGGCCCTTCGTCCCAGGCAGTACCCATGCAGTTTCCTTTTATATTCTTTTCATTGCCTGACTCTGTTGGGAGAGATGTTGAGGAGCAAACACACCGTCGGCTGGAGTACTCATCTCGAAAAGCCTTCTGCTGCTCTAGCTATGCTCCCACTTGACTGGGGGAATGATTTCTTAGACAAAACCTATTTTTAAGGCAGTTACAATCCTCTCATTTACAGCTTTTCATTTCAGCTGGGCAGAGAAACTTTGGCTAAGAGCTGGATCTGGTTTGTTGCAGTAGTAAATTCTGGCCCATGGTTTGTTGCCCATTTCAGCTAGGGCTTCATAAAAGGTTTGCAGGCAATTTGGTGCAGTCCAAATGAGTTATTCTTCCAGGTCTCTTCCAGACCCGTTTGCCTAGATGTGCCTCCATTCCCAGTCACCAGACTGGGTGCACAGCTGTCACACACTGAAAATGTGGCTATTTCCCATTGTATGCTTGGACATGGACCACAGTCCATGGTAGGTGGTTCCAGCAGTGTGGGGGTAGGTCCATTCGCAATCGCAGGCAGGGGCAGAGTGGGGGTAACCTCTCCAAAGCCTGCGGAGCAGCAGTGTGGCCATTTCTGCTGAAAGGTTCTCCAGTTGTTCTCGTTTAGACTGTTTTTTTGTGATAACCTTAGGGAAGTGGTAAGTAACATTTGCAAGCACAGCCTATAAAGATGGGTTGCCTTGGGCATTTGTGTCCTATGTTAAATGTGCCACGTGTTATTTATTGCTGCCATTTAAAAATTGGAATACTGGTTTCTACTGAGGCATATGCCAACTTTAGCAAAAAAAAAGTGATTGTGATAATTCAAAGTCAGAGTTTCTGTCAAAAAAAATATAGCTTTTTGACTGTTTTCCAAAGGGATCTTGGCCTTCCCTCTCTGGATGAACAAGCTCCAGCCCAGGGCTGCAGCTCCTGCCCTCTCGCTGCGGCTGTGCTGCCCTCTCCCAGCACCTTGTCCACGTCTCTCATACTGGGCATCCCAGGGCGGTCACAGCTCTCCAGGTAGAGCCATGTGGGGCTGGGGAGAGGGGAACCATGGCCCTCGGGATGAGCTGGACATGCTGGTGCTGGCAGAGCCCGGGATGTGGTTAGTCTGGGGTGCCACAAGAGAGCACTGCTGCCTCGCGCTCTGCAGGGGCTCCGGTCCCGCCTGCCCCAGATTTTGAGGCAGTTGTGAATTAAGGGGGACCCGGTGGGTTTGTGTTCCTGTAGTTGGGTGTGAAGAGATTATAAATGCAGAAATGTGCTAAGTAAGTGCAAAACATCAGTGTATTTCTGGAAGTGTCACTTTGAATATTATCAGCAGAGATCCCTTCCTTTGGTGCCACTTGCTCTCTGCACTGAGGCAGGAATGGGGCTGCAAAACCTGCACCACTTGTTTTGATGCAATTTAGTAAGAAGTAGGACAATTCGGACTGTTGCAGCTAACAGTGTCTTCACTGCTATTCACCTGCTTATTAACGTGTTTTTTAATATTGATTCTAGTTTTGTTTGTTTATGATAAAAATCTAGGTCAAGGATACATTTTTTTTTAATGCTGCTCAAATAATTCTATTTAACTATGGAGTCAGTCCATCCTAAAATATCTAGGGACCTGTTACCAGGTTACTACAGATGAATCCACAAGCCAAGTGGGTGGTGAGGACTACTGGTAGAGATATTTACTGCACCTCCAAAAGGCAGGGCTGCCTCTAGGTTACCTCTGTGTGCAGCTGAGCCAGATGTTTCCATGCTCTTCATACATGGTCCTTTAGGAAACTCATGTAATCAACTTAGGGGGTGGATCTTAGCAATGTTCATAGATAGTTGGTGGAAGACCATGAAGAGGATGGGGTCAGACTTTGCTCAGTGGTGCCTGAGACAAGATCTGACTGGACCAAAGTCTGGGCAACCTGCCCCAGCCGGCCCTGCTTGGGCAGGGTTTGGATTGAGCAACCTCCCGAGGTCCCTGCCAGCCCCGTCTGCTCCGTGGTTCTGTGGTTCTGTCTGAGGAGCTGCGATTCCAGCCCGTCCTGGGCACACAAACAAAGTGTACGAGACGGGAAAGGAAGCAGCATCAAAACTTTGGGGAAAAAGAAAGTTTCTGCTCAGGAGAAAAGGTAGTATAAATATCCCAAATGTGGGAGAACTTTTACCTCTAATTGACTGTAGTCAGATTTAAAAGTGTGTGCGCCACCGTTTTATACTTAGTTCTTGTGCTTGTCTGTGAACAGTTTGTATAGTTTTTCCAATTTAATCTTTTTAATCTCACACAGACATATTCAGCTACTAATACTTCATTATGGGACTAGAAACTGTATTCTTTGCAGGACTTTACCTATCCATCTTAATTCAGCTACATGTCCTCTGTTCTCCAAAAATCTGTATTTAATTGTTCTGTGTTTCTTAAAGTCCTTTGAAATAAGGTGCTCCAGTGTGTGTTCTGGAAAAGTTGTCCCAGCCTTTTTAATGACTCTTTTTCTTATGAGATGAAGGGAACATTTGGGTTTTCACACTCACATCTGAAGATAATAACAATATGCTCCATGTTCAAATTAGAGATCTTCACTAGTGATGTATTTTGGCTAATGTAAGAGCTTTAATTTAAACACCTGATAATTTATGAAGTTCTTTAAAGGTGTGTGGTGAAAGCTGTCAATCTGGAACTCAGTGTAGAAGAAGAAAAAAAGTGAAAGTTTGGTTATTAGTGACATCAGAAATTCAAGGTTTGTTTGTACGATTGACAGGAACGTCCAAGACGGACATGTCTGCTTTCTCGCCTGGCATTTATGATGGCAATATATTATTTTGGCAGTAGACCACTTGGATCACTCCACAGTTCACAGCTTGAGGAAGCCAAGTGCCAGTAAATAGGTTAAATTTACAAGTGACTCAACAACTCTGATCTATGAATTGGAACAGAAAAGCATGTCTGTTTTCAGGAAACAAATATTGTGTAGTAAATGATCTACTAGAGTGGAATTTCCTCCTAAAACCATGCCAGGAATTTTTGTCTGATTTTTGGACTGATTTTCTAGATCAGATACTTTTTCTGGTCGTGAAGAGAGGAAATACCTTGATAATTATACAGCGTTAAAGGAATTAGATCCCTCTGGCTGTTTGGGTAGTGTAGGTACTACGAGAAAAATTCTGGAGAGAGAAATGTTCTGCAGATTCGTCTAGACTAATCTCTGTTTACATACTAATATTTTCTCTCACCATTATTTCTCTGCTTTAAGGATTTTAAGGTGCATGTGCATAATAAGAAACTCTGCTCTACTGAGAGTTTGGTCATTGATTTTGGTCATTGATTTAATGCAGGATTAGCATGCATGCAAGGATTGAAAGGATCTGTCATCGCGCTATCATCTGCTCTGATTGACACCTTCATCAATGTCAGCTGTAGTATTTTACCCTGTGATTGCAGTATTTATTTTGATGACTTGTGATTCAGCAAAAGCACCTTTTAAAAAACTGTTCTAGTTTTAGCGTCATCAAGGAGGGAAGAGCTTGTCCATTGCAAAATGATAATTATTGTTAAAAATGTGTTTTATTTCCAATTTGGACTTTCGAATTTCCATTTCCAGCATTGAATCTCTGACAGATAAATAGGCTTCAGATACAAGCACAGCTCTTCATTCTCTTGGGAATGAGTTCCTGTGAGTTCCATTAACTTCCACCTCTTTAACATAACTAGTACATAACTTGTGGCAGGTTAAAATATACTTATCGTTAACTTACACTGAAGCCCTGTTCCCACTGCCTAAGAGAGAGGATCAGTATTTTTGAGAATGCTAGAAATACTAGAAATACAGTGAGCCAGTTAAGCCCCAGGAGGTGCTGGTTGGACGTGTCCTTGGTCCGTGTTCCCCCTCTGCTATCTCGTTGCTCCTGGGCGGCCTTCAGGCTCCCTGCCCATTGGCCATGTCCAGTCTGGCTCCGTGCTGGGAATGGCTGGGAATGACACTCGTGCCATCACTGTCCTTCAGGAACGGGGGCTGCCAGGTAAGGAGCCTTGATCGACGCTTTGGGCTAATTTCAGGCCTTGTAAGCACTAGCTTCGAAGCTAATTCTTTTCTTGCTTCCAAGATGGTTGTGATGTTTTACTGACATTATAAGATTAAAAGAAATATTTCTGACATACCCATAAATATGTCTGTTACATTATAGGCATTTGAGCTAGCAACTGGAGATTATTTGTTTGAACCACATTCTGGTGAAGACTATTCCAGGGACGAAGGTATGAATCTTTTGAGAAATTTATGAGTTTCTGTATATTTTCACACTCTTCTTCTTAAATTTCTAGCAAGCTTACAGTGGGGTTAATTTTTGTATTTGATTGAACTGTTCGTATACATTGGTTTTAGAATATAAATACAATTTTTTTCTTTTTAGTTTTAAGTCCCATCAGTAGCAGAGGGTGGGCAAAAACTCCCTTCTGCAGATACTCATCTACCTAACACCTACCTGAAGGAATTAAACTGCCCTTCTTGTAAGACTGCATATGTGTGGAAACCTGATTGAGAATAACAATGTTTTCTTTAGTTTCTGGAAGAAACATCAAAATTGAACTTTATAAGTTTGGCACTGGAATAATGTTTACATTGTGTATTTTTACTTGGATTAGGCATTTACTAATTTTTTAAAAACCAGAATTAACTCCTGCTTCCATCTGTGTACCTGTCCATTTTCATGCTTGTTTGCTTGTAAAGGCCCTTGCGGTGGTGACGTGGGCATCATTCATTGTTTTTAAGTGCTGCTAATGATGCCAGAGCTCTGCTGATCCTGGAAACCTCTGCATGGATTTGCTGCAAACATTGTTGTTTTGAAACTATTTCTGATTTTTTACTAATTCCAGTTTCTTTCCTCTTCTTTTTATCCCATCCTTTCCCTGCCCCTTCCACTCCCGTATCCTTTTTTTCTCTCCCTCATAGACCACATAGCACACATCATAGAGCTGCTAGGCAATATCCCAAGGCACTTTGCTCTATCTGGAAAATATTCTCGGGAATTCTTCAATCGCAGAGGTAGTACCTCTTCTTTTTGAAAGGTGCCGTGATGCAGACAGAAGTGGAATTGCTGTTGCTGGTTGTAACATGTCCCACGAAAGAGCATCTTCTCAAATCTAGCAACAAAAAAATATCTTTGTGAAACAAATTCACATGAATTAGGGGCAGAAATCTCGACAAACTCAACTTCTTTAGCTACACTTCCAAAAAAAAAACCAACAAAAAATCCCAGAAAAACCTACTAGTACATTTTAAATTGTATAGAAAAACACGTATATAGTAGCTGATACTCAAATGTCTTTTTGACAAGGGAATTTTACTGGAAGTGTTTTTTCCAAAGTAGCCCCCTTAGCCTTAACAACACGCTGACTAGTGTGCACGTGTCTGTTTACCAGGATCAATCTATTTCTGTCTGTACCGGGCCAGTGTTAGTGTGTGCATGCAATGTACTGATTAAACTGTTGTATGTTTCTGTTTTGCTGGCAATGTTCTCCAATGCAGACCACATAGCATTGATCATTGAACTGCTGGGAAAAATCCCTCGAAAATACGCTATGTTGGGGAAATATTCCAAGGAGTTTTTCACCAAAAAAGGTAACGGTATTTATGCAACACTAATTTAAAGCATAATACTATCCAAAAGGAGAATATGTTCATTCTATTATGGGTGCTGAAGAAATATATCCATTTAAATGGAGAGCTCTTGTAAAAGAAGAATTTTGGTGTGAACTTGCCCTTCTAAGAAAAGCAACCTTCTTCGCGTTGGTTTCATTTTTTTTTTTTTTTGCTTAAAATCTGTTTTGTGTTGTACACAACAAAGTGGATATTAGCTAACGCTTTTGTGAGTCTGTCGGCAAAGGTTTATGTATGTGAGGGCAAGGAATCATCAGCAATGCTGACAGCTTTTGGCTTGGCTGGAAGTCAACCGTGACCCCCTTTGGTAGTATGTGGTGGTCTGGCATATGCTCTTGGTAAGGATTGAAGTAGGTGGACAAGGATTTATGGGCAGTAGGTGCCCAGCGGGGTGCAGCGCTCACGTGGGCCTGGCCCTGGAGAAGGTGCAGGCGGGAGCTGTGGCCGTGGGGCCGCGGAGGGAGGACAGCTTTTGGCTTGGCTGGAAGTCAACCGTGACCCCCTTTGGTAGTATGTGGTGGTCTGGCATATGCTCTTGGTAAGGATTGAAGTAGGTGGACAAGGATTTATGGGCAGTAGGTGCCCAGCGGGGTGCAGCGCTCACGTGGGCCTGGCCCTGGAGAAGGTGCAGGCGGGAGCTGTGGCCGTGGGGCCGCGGAGGGAGGCTCCGCCGTGCGCGCTGCCCTCGCGCGTTGAACACTGCTGGTTGTGGTAACTCTGAGGGCCACGGGCCAGGACGTAGCTGCGTTTGGTGCTTTGCCAAAGTGCCAG